TCTCTCTCTCGCTCTCTCTCTCTCTCTCTCTCTCTCTCTCTCTCTCTCTCTCTCTCTCTCTCTCTCTCTCTCTCTCTGTGCGTCTGATTTCGTCCTTTCCTCACCTCGGTAGGTAGGGTCGAGGAACGACCGGCTGAGAGTCGCAGCCTTAGCCGCGAACTCTCGTCGCTGATAGAGGAAGTGCGGCAGCCCGCAAGTCCTGACATCGAACACCTCCGACAGCCCTGCGTCACGCAAGCTATTTAGGCCACAGATTGGCATCGAGACAGGGAACGCAGATGACGCGAAACGCAACAGATCGACAAAGAAAGCAGAGAAGGGACTTAGCGTATGTGGACGCAGGCTAGTGGCCACAGAGAGAGGGAGAGAAAGGGAGAGAGATAAACAGAGCGCCTCGGACTAGATACAACCGAGAGGCACCCTGCTGGCTACGGGGGCCCGCAAAGAAAGGGTGCCTCACCAAGTTCACCCTGAAAACATAACCACAGCAGTCGTCCACGGGTGCGAGACTCATCGGCTGTTGTGCGAAAGAATACCGCGCCATTTTTTCTGGGAGTCAGATTATTCATCTTTCCGTACATTTTCTGGGCGCACCAGTCGAGGTCAGTCACACAGGAGAAAAAAGGAGGCCACAAGGGACTGTATTTGATCTTTTCCTGCACTCCCTCTACGATCGTCTGTTTTATACTAGTAGGTTTTACGACGACAAGAGTACAACCACCTGACCAACGTCAGGCAAGTGCAGCCGTTCAAGCAGACGGTGAACGGTGAGGGTCCCTCAAATAGTGCCGGTTGCGCATTGGTGCCACTGCTCGGTGTAGTAGCGCCGGTGAGGTCGCGTGACACGGATGCAAAACCCAACTTGTTGTCTCATTCTCTGAAATGTTTAGTCCCGCGCGCCCGGTACTGCCGGTGAATGAGGCGGGCGCATGCGGACACTGCCGAGGGCCCCCCACTGCTGCACACGCTAAGTGTGCGGCTAGAGGCGAGAGAGCTTTCGGGCCGACGTCACACCTGCTGGGCTTGTCCACGTCCCGCCACAACGACTCCAAGTTCGCCCTCGCCGCCTTGTCCAGGGCTTCCAGGTGCTCGTTTTCTTCCACGTCCCTTAGCACCAACATCAGAACCTGGCGAGCCCATCCGAGTCGTCACGCGGGTTAGAAAACAAGGACGCGGTTTGGTAGACATGCAATCAGCACACACACACACAATTCATGGCATTTAGAAGCGTTTTGTGTTTTCAACCGCACTGAGATTGACGTTTTTTCATTGGTCAGCTAGCGCGGTCGATGCTAGCAACAGCAATAAATACACGCACACGCACATACTGCACGCACACAAGATTGTGATCGGTGGGCCCCGGGGATTGTCGCATGTGCAACACAGGCACCTCCTGACGTGGATGAGGAGCAGACAGCAGCAGCAGACCTCAAAACGCGTCTCTTTTTCTGCACCCCATCAGAGCCTATACAATCGTCGTCGCTTGCGAGACCTAACCGTCGTTCGGTGTTGCCTTCTACTGAGGAGGACGTACGATTGGCGGCCACGTGAAAGACTTCCTTTCCGTTGCTCGCCGAACAGCTTGATCGTGAGGCGGGATTGACCCGGTACTCTGGTCCTGCCAACAAAGATCAACGCTCGCAACTCTCACGGAACAAGCGCGTTGCTGACCGCGCCACGGCCGGGATTAGAAACCCACGATCCTGGCCGTTCACAGGCTCCAAAACTGGAAACGAAGTACGTTTTAGGCCTCTCGGGTGGGTCCCAATTCAACCTTCGTGCTGGTAGAAAACTCTTGGTCGGGTTGGGGGCAACGTAACCTCCTACGAGCAGTAGTCTATGCAGCGAAATTGATTAAGCAAACATATGGGATATAGTATTCAATCCGTGCTTTGGGGTTACGGCTAGGGTTAGGGCTAGGGTCTGCTTCAGCCCCCTCCCCGTTGTTTCTAGATACTCTTAAAATCATGTGTAGGCGGTCCCCTACGAGTATTACGCACATATGCATACCCCCCCCCTCGCAGCCCCTGAACCCCTCAACGTCACGGCATCAGCCCCATCACACGGCCGCAAAGAATGCAAGACAAACCCAAAAACAACGATCAGACCATGACACACACACACGTCACCTTCGGAAATCGCGCCTGCGACCCCGTCCCCTCCCTGCCCGCACGCAGGCCTGCTGTGCCCGGGCCAGGGACATCACTGCCAACGTCGCCGGTACCGTCTTGCCCCTCGTACAGCCGCACCGCCTCCTCGAAAACCGACCGCAGGACGGAGTACGCCTGCCCGTCGGCACGCCCCACGTCGTGTGCCCACAGGTTAAGCATGATCACGTCGGCAGCCATCACGGCAAATAGAGTAGTCCTTTTCGGGTATCAGACGGGAGCGTGAGGGGCGGGGACGCGTTTTTAGAAAAAATAGATGCAATCAGGGAAAGACTACCCGACTGAGATATAAACCCGTGTAACTGCTGTGGTCTCTTAAGTTCGAAGCATGACTTGGTAAACGTGTGTTGCTCCTTTTCCACAACCACGGTTCCCTACTCCTGTACTGCACGGCTGTACGCAAACTCTACAAGAAGAGAACGCCGTAGTGCTCGCTGTCTACCGAAACACGAAGGAGTGTCAGGCACCTATTCGGGAAGGATAAAAGGCAGGCAGAAGTCATTTTCAAGCTTCAGCTCAAGCGCCGTTTGCCAGGTTAGGCTTGCCTGCTGTCGAATTCCATGCCATCGGTACCGCCACGATCTCGGCTTTGCGTGCCCTCCACGTCCACCAGCACGAACGGCGTAGGCGCTGCTGAGGGCACCGCCGCTGCCGCCGCCGCCGCCGTTGCAGTCGCTGTCCCGCCGGAAGCCCCTTCTTTCGGCAGGCGTTTTTCGTGTATCCTAGCACGAGCACCGGTAACCGCGGCAGCAGACGAGGAGGAGGCCGACCCGCGCGCTTCGCCCGTTCGATTGGCCGCGGTATTCTTAGCCTCAGTCTTCCTCTTCTTGGTCTTCGTGCGGGCTTTGGACCGCGATCCCGCGGCCGCGGCGGCGGTGCCACTCGGACGTTGCTTGCTGCTACCTCCACCACTGCTACTGCTGGTGCTGCTGGTGGTGCCACTGAGTCGCGATGCCTTCCGTGCGCTGGCGCTGGCAGAGGAACCTTTCGGCTTTTTGGGCCTCTTCTGCCTAGGCGGAGAGCATAATTGTAGATCTATCCACGCCCCGATTGTTGTTCTCCGAGGGAGCGAATCCTCCGCGTTCTCCATTACGGGGAACCTGCGCAAAAGAAAGATAAACACCACATGTTGTTACGATACTACTTGTATTAAATACGCATAAGATCACCGAAATACTATCTACCCATGCGAGATACTGAACCACAACAGAAGTGGTCGTTTCGCGGAAGTTCATCGGTTTCAACATCGAGTGTGAAGCCAGTTCGACCAGCAACATACGTAAAAGCTGTCATACATTCGAACCATCGGAAGGAAGGAAAGAAGGCAACACGAGGAGGTGGACGGGAGCGATGATGGCTCAAAACGGTCATCGACCCATGATGATTCTCTCGTCTACAAAAGAAGATACTCCGATGTGGTCGCTTCCAAAGGCTAGGACGCTAGGACTGCTCAACCCTGGGCGACTGCTGTAGTCTACTCCACGACTAGCCCGGTCAACAGCGGCGCCAAAGGACGTGGTGCACTGGCACTCACTCGCCCCAGAGTAGCTGACGAGCCGTTGATAGCTCTTTTTCTCGCAGCGGGGAGAAAGAGCAACAGGAACAGGAGAGTGGCTACTGCCGTTGTTCCCCACCGGAGGTGCTTCGGAGATGTTGGTCGTTGTTGATGCAGTACATTGCCCAACCATGTGTTCCTGTTTTCCTCGATATGTAGTACATCGGCATACTACGGCCACCAAGTCTACCTTTCTTCACAATATCTCGAAACAGTCTGTGGCGGCCTTCTGCCGCTGCCGCTGCCGCTGCTGCTGTATCGGCGTCTCTTGCGGGATCATGTGTGGTCTGCGAGCACGACGCGTGTGAGCCAACTACAAGCTGATGTGTTACACTAGCAACGACCGGTTGGCCATGACGACCACATCAGCCAACCGTGGGATCAACAACTACAACGGTCGTTAACTCCTTTGTGCAATGGTGGAATTCGTGTACCAGCAGTCTCTGCTACAGCTGTAGTCTAGTCGACACGCCGCATGCGGTGCCGCTCACCCTGTGCCGAAGAGAGCGTTCAGCAACGTGCTCTTGCCGCTGCACTGACAGCCGGTTACGGCCACCACCCTGTAGTCGTGGGACGCTGCTAGCTTCTCCGGCAGCTCGTCGAAGTCCACGCAAAAAGTCAAGAAGTCGTCTGCTGCTGCTGTTGCTGCTGCTGTTGTCACAGCAGCAGAGGCTGAAGACTTGCCACGGCCGTTGGCGAGAGCGTCAAGCCTGCTGCTGCCGCTTCGTGGATCCAGCAGAGCTCCATCCACGCTGCTCGCATGAGGCGGGGCCGCCACGCCCATGCCACCGGACACCAGGGCTACAAAAACGAAAGAAACTCGTACCATGGCATTGCTGATGCTTGGTGGCTGACAGAGCACGTGCTGGGGCCTTACCATGTGATACAATGGGAAGTTGTTACGTGTAGGCACGTGGATAATGGCGCTTGCATATTGCATCGTAACGGTAGGGGCCCCGCGGATTGAAGCCACAAAATACAGGAGGTGGAGGGGTCCCCCTGCGGGACAAAGGACGGGCGCACGCTGCACCCGGCGTAGCTTGTCTTGGGGTTGGCCAGGGAGGGGGGGGGTAAGCAGCAACAGCGGAGGCCGCAGATCTGTGTAGAGTGTGGACACTGCAGTTTTGCCGCCGCCTTCGCCAGCAATCATAAAGCGAGAAGATTGGGCGGGGGTTGCACGGTCTCAGAGGACAGGAAGAGGCCTGATTCCGAAAGGACTGGGCGGAAGTCTGCTGGTGGCTCAAAGAAACAGTGTGGCCCATGCCCGTGCGTTGAATGTAAACTGCTGTTTGACGAATTCAACCTCGGCACGATGTAGACCTTGGCAGCCTTTTTTTTTTTTGCGTTGGCCCATATGAGATAGCTAATTTGAGACTACTGGCGTTCTTCGTCAATTGGGGCACCTGGTGCAAGTGATGAGTTTGGTGCGTAGAAGTAAGGATGACGAACGACTTTTCTCCGCGGGGTGTGTACTTGCGATGTAGATTGTGCGGTTGTGTGCGTGCGTATTCTACGCCAGATCCCTGTGCCTGCTGCTTCATTTTCTTTCAGAAGTATGAAGGGTTTGCATGCATCGGCGGGTGTTCAGACTTGACGTATGACAACATGCAGACTCAATGATCAAGTTTATGGTGCCCCTGGACGCTGTGCTTCCGCCCGCCGACCTACTAGACTTTTTTTGTACTTAAATAACGGAGTTCATACTCTGTTTTCTGTACAGCACTGTACAGCATGGACACCCCCTGGACTATACATCGAGATATGGAACGCAGAAATCCATGCGGGGGCCATGTCAGAGAGCTCTTTGCACTCTCATTTCTCGTTGAAGGCAGGAAAACACAATCACACAAAATACTAAATAAAGAATGCACCTGCTCAATCGTTTTTCGCGTAAAAAGTACACACGCCTCTCTCAATTTTTACGCGCTTCGCGCGAAATAGTTTAATTCCCAAGCTGGACCCCTATCCATTAAATCTGAGCCTTTCAGCATAGCCACATCCCGTCATCGAAAACCCTCGAATATCAAGGGGTGTGCGCAAAATGTACCCTTTTGACGTCGCGGCGGGCAACGTATGACGGTGATGTACACGAAAGGATGACTTATGATATTTTTTGTGTTTCCCACCACAGGTCCCACTTACCTTATGCAACGCTTATATCACGTAATAAATGTCGAAACACGACACAAATATATGTCGCAACAACACACCAAATAAAGCACCACCCACTCCGTGGTACAGCCGTGCTAGTTTGTGCGGGGCATGCGATTGGCGCATGACAACATACAGAACAGCATCTGAGCGCTTTCATGTTAACATCTGAACCAGCCTTTCACCTTGTTGTCAGGAGCGAGGAAGGACGTAAATAACAATACAAGTACTTTCCAAGTACATCAATACGCAGCAATGTTTTCGCACAGGACGTGATCTACCGTACCTACAGTAAATATATATGCAAACGCTCAACTACCACCAAAAAGTATTTACACACACCACCGACTAACTGCTGTAGAACCCTTCACCGCCACTATCGCTTCACCCAGACGAACTTGCCCTGCACTGGCCCGTACGGAATATGCCAGGTGAGAAACGACGAGAAGTGTTTGAGCGACTTCTTCACCGGGCAGAGCACAGCCTTCTGGAACCGGTCAAGGTCATCGGCGTCCCGACAGACGGGAGATTTCGGGAACATGCCCTCCACGGTCGAGGCGCTGCGGACGACTTGCAGCCGACTCACGGCTGGGAAGTGCTGCAGGAATACGTCGAGGTCCCACCTCGCCGTCTGAGCGTAGCTTCTCGTCTTAGCCCATGCCACGATATTCTCCTGGTCGCTCAGCTTCCCCTCCGCCCCCGCCCTCGCCGCCGCCTGCGCGTCCACTTTCCCGCCGCCCGACCTCGCCGACGTCGCGCTCACCCTGCCAGCCGGAAGCTTGTCTTCGTCATCGGCGGCAAGATAAACAACTCTCGTTCCGTACATCGACCCTGCCAGCCGGACGGCCCGGCTACATTCGTCCAGCTTCTGCGCCCCCCACGCCCCCCCCAGCTCCTCCTTCGCTGCGGCCACGTAAATCGGAGAAAACCCCAGGTACGACAGCACCTCCACGCCCATAGCAAGCCCTGACTCCTGAGATAGGACCCGGAAGTTTTCCGGCGATCCGTCGGCCACCCCTTCCGCTGGACCCATCCCGGCGACAGTTGCTCCTCCTGGTACCCTCCCACCTCTAACACCCCCCTGCTCCGAGCCCCCCCCCGCCCCAGCATCAAACCAGTGGACGTTCACCCTTTGCCGCAAGTATTGCCAGTACTGGGCGCCCTCAGGGCCGCCACTCAAGACGTAAAAGGCGGCGAAAACGTCCCTGGCGAACCTGTTGGCGCTCTCGACACTGTTGGCGACGGCGCCGCTTCGACTCTGTCCCTTCTTTCCTCCACCGCCGCCACCGCCTCCACGCGACGCGCACAGCTCGGGGTCAACGCACATGTACATGGTGGGCTTCCACGACGTGTACCGCTCCGAAACCCGGAAGAAGTCGTCCATCACTAGCGTGTGCATCCCTTGCAGAAGGTACAGCGGCAAGCGGTCCACCGCGGTCGCGCTCGTGCCCACGATCGCCGCCGGCTTTCCGCGAAAGGCTCCACCCATCCGGGCCCACCACCGACCCGTCTCCTCCCGGTTCGGCGGTGCCATGATCGGCCACCTCCGACTGATGGACTCGAGGGTGGCCGCTTGGTGATCCTCGCCGGCGCCGAGGGGCTGCGATCGGGGGGGATTCGACGACCTCTCGTAGGAACCGAGGCAGTCTAGGGTCTGCTGCAGGTCCTTGGCCAGGATGGACCGCGGGGATAGGGTGCCCAGGGGGGCGTACTCGCACCACATGGCCGCCTGCCGCAGGCGGCGGGTGCCGAAGGACGCCGCGACGGCAGTGCCGTTGCTCGCGAGGTAGTCCGCCTCGCGGGAGAGCACCTGCTCGTCCGCAAGGTACCTGACCCTGGCGTCGAATACCGCGACCCAGACCCCGACCGTGGCCTCCTCGTTCGTGTAGGTACGGAAGTCGTTCTTGATGATCTCTTCCGCCAGGCCGCGGGACAGGCCGTACATGCCACCCTCCATGTGCTCCGGCCAGTAGACCCCCCTGTAGTCGAACTCGAACACGCCGTCCGTCTCCGTTTCTTCTTCTATCGCTCCCCCCCCCGTCAGGCCAGCCGACGGGTCGGCCTGAGGGTCGAGGACGTTGGCAGGGTTAGCGACCTTTGCCAACGCGTGCCGCTTGCCGAAGTACAGGAGTTCCCCGCGGTCGACCGCCTTCGGCGGGAGCCAGCCCCCGCGCCCGAACAAGCGCGACAGGAACAGGGTGCTGTCGTCGTCGGCCTTGACCAGGAGGTCGAATTCGTGATGCTCCGTGGTCCAGTGGATGCAGTGCTTGGTCCTCTCGGACGCCGTGTCTCTGGCTTCCTCTACGGGAGCGATCAGGATGTCCCGGTGCGCCTCCGCCTCGGCGGCAAGGCGAGCGTTCTCCTCCGCGGTGTAGCTCCGGTCCTCCCCCATCACGAAGATGTGCGACACGCGCACGCCGTCCGGGACGTCTTGGAGCCATGTCTGCCGCAAGAGGTGTCGCCTCTGCCATTCGCTCCGCCGCGTCAAGATGCATATTGCTAGGTTCGTTACTTCCGCCGCGGTGCGTGTCTGGGTGGTGCGACGGTTCGGAAGGACAATCGCGCGCGGCGGCGGGGGCGGCGGTGCCAGGTGCAGGGCGTTAGTATCGTGAATAGTACCAGGCATGTAATCTGCTGTTGCCGGTAGCACTCTGAAAACCACCAAAAATGTCGTTGATTTACTCCATGTGGCAAAAATGAAACGCTACACTAAACGGGGTCGTGCGTGACAAGTACTTTATGTCGGGGAGGTGCGCGGAGGACGAGGGTGCAGCAGTTTGCATCTGTGGGTGCAGTCGTCAATTTCGGCCCTCGATGACGGCACCTTTACGGGGGTTGACGAAAACGCACCAGGTTGATGATGTGCAAGTTGGAAAGAACTCGAGTTACGAGTTCAACGTTCGCAGTTGTCCCGGACACTCCCTTGTTAGCCTGACTACATAGCGTCAAGAACCTACGACGTTTGGCACACAGGTACCATACAACAAGTAGTGCAGCGCTGTAGCAGAGCCCGCCGTGCTCTCTATAGATGAGTACTGAACTCGCAGCATCGCTCCTAACAATAACGTCGGTCTTCTTTGAAAACAGCAGCCGGAATTGCCCGCCGGAATGAGAACGCAAAATGAAGATACAGCGTCGCTAAACCCGATGCGATCATGTCCTGGTCGAGTGCCTCTTCGATACACCGCGCGGAGTCGTGATCACATATGTATCTGATGACACTGCTGTCAATAAACTTCATTCCAAACTTACGGCCAGCTTTTCTTGGCCATTTGCTGGCGTACTCCTGTCTCTGGTTCAGGGCTCACTTTTGTGGTGCAAGAGAGTCGGTCAGTCTCTCTGTGCTTCGAGCATCGAGCAGCAGGCTCGACTTCGCCGTTTGGGACACCTTTTGACGGAACAGAGCGCTCCGGCGTGTTTCACGGTCATACACATCCAACCACAAGTTAGCTGTCCAACGGTATCACAGCACTCCTCCACCCTGAACACCACCGCAACATGGCACAGCCCACAGGCAAGAAGCACACATACCTGCTCCACCGGCTGCTGTTCCCGCCGATCCTGCGAAAGTGATGCCGCTCTCGAATGCAAAATGTTTTGGAGCACCAATATCACGGCAATGGCGAAGATTCCCCAAAACACGAAGTTTTTCCCACGACCCATCCCACACAGCGCCGCGTGCTCAGCTCGCCGAGCGTACGCGCTACCCTGCAGACAACACTGTTGCTGCCGCATCCAACAACCCACTGACTGCGAAGCCGTGGACCTTTCGTATATTGCTATAACAATCGTTGTTATAGTCATATACCATGTTGTAGCCGTGGACAAAACGATAGGGTGCCCCGTGAATGTGGCGAACCTTTCGAGAACCTCTTACTGGGTACCCATGTACCCATCCACCCGGCTGAGCAAGTGATTTCTCGGTGCCCTGCACTCATCAACGTCAACCAAGACAAACGTGCGAGAGATCAGATTCGCACGAACAAGGCTCGCAACACACACGCTCGCCCTTGCGACGTTAATTGCGTTTGAAAGGACAGGTACGATTCCCTGCCAGCGTCTTGGCAAGTTTCTGCCCGCACGATTATTCCGCTACTGCTTTCTACGGTCAAAAAGAAACAGCGCTAGCAGCGGCGGCGGTGTTGGACACAGCCCGGAAATGGTTGCACCGCCTAGTCAGGAACGAACGCCACTTCGGGCCGCCGAAAATAGCACCGGCAGCAGTGGTGGACAGGCACAGCGATCGAACCCGCCGCGCGACGGTCCTCGATGGGGCGGCGACGGTGAGAACGTGAGACCAACGGGGTGGACGGACAACCCTGCTGCGGCAGGAGCAGCAGCAGCACAAGCGAGGGCGGGTGGCAGCGTTCTCGGAGTCCTCTCCGCAAGAAGTACCACCCAGCAGGGTGGCGGCGGCCCGGAAGTGGACAGCTACTCTCTGCTGCGTCCCGCTGGCGGTACCCCTCTCTCCGACAGACGACAGGAGGCTGCACCTGGCGTGGGCCAGACTCGGGGCCTGGAGCATCAGCAGCGGTACGCTGGCGGGGAAGCCCGAGGCGGAGCTGCCGAGTCGAAACGGGCAGCATCGTCGGAAGATAGAGACGTGGAACTGGAGATGTGGAAGCTAGGGCTCCAGATCGGCTCGAAACTTGACGTGAAGGACACCGTGGACAAGTGGTGCGAGGCCACTGTCACCGCGGTGGACAGAGAGGCCGCCAGGGTTTACGTCTCCTACACCTACTGGGCACCAAAGGTGATGTCGTGGGGGCGCGATACGGCAGCGGGCATGTGAGCAGCTCGCATGTTTAACTTCACTTTCGTTCTCGGCGGTGTGTACTGCTGTAGATCTACAGCGGTAGCAGACGGAACGTCTCGTACATGCGCGTAGCAACCGGTCGCCCCGGTGGTCTAGTTGGTAACCTCGAAACCTTCAGGTCAGGGGTTCGAATCCCGGCGTAAGCGAACTTTTCTTGCAAAGTGAGTTTTTCTCTCGCTTCCGCTCCTGGCCTAGTGGATAGCGCTAGTTCGTGTGTACACAGAGGGAAGAGAGTGCTGAACTCTTCTCGCATTGAAAATCGAAAGCAAAGTACCGCAGGAGGGTAGGGTAGAGAGGGGCTCTTCTGTGTGACCACGGGTTGGAGTAAACGGCACTATTTAGTGCTGTGAGCGCTGATTTGAAGACAAAAAAAAAAAGAAGCAGACATCTATCTGCATATGTTTGCGTCTCCGAAAATCTCACGGAATTGTATCCTACACGTGTACGAACTTTTTTTTTTTTTTGCATTCTTCATGACGAAGCTTGGGGACGGCTCTCACGGAGGTGGAGGCCAGACTAATTGCTACCGTAGTAGTCTTACGAGCGAGAAGACTGTCCAGGGATGAACCTTCGCGCGGTAGTTACAGATCCCTGAATCCATTTTGACACGCACGCTGCAGTCCAGCCTGTGGATCTTTGGAGGGTTCCTGGCGAATCGCGGTCGTCACCCCGCTCTTTACAGCCCGTTGATGCAAACTTTCGTCTCCAGTTACTTGGCCATATGACGCGAACGGTCCAACCTCCTTCCACATAGCAGGTTTTCTCCGGCCAAATCCTCATGTCATCCGTTCCTCTCTCTGTCTGTCTGTCTGCCTGTCTGTCTCTCTCCTCTGTCTGTCTGTCTGTCTGTCTGTCTGTCTGTCTCTCGCTCTCTCTCTCTCTCTCTCTCTCTCTCTCTCTCTCTCTCTCTCTC